CTCTCCAGGCTTAAAGTTCTCTAGGGAGTAAAGAAGCTTTCATAACCCTCCTTGAAAGCCTTCTTTGATAGTTATATATGAGTGCTATCGAACTGATTATCATGTGAAATGCATCCAGAAATTATGCAAGAGACCAGAAAATCTAGATCACAATATTCCTTTTAAAATTATATCATCTTTTAATATTATGATTTAATTATAAACATGAAAAAATTAAGTCCATCTGAAAACCCATTTTTTAAAGTAATAGCATTTTGTGTTTAAAATACATAATTTGAAAAAATAAATAAAAAATAAAATACATAATTTGTAAACCCAAGTATCTGGTACTGATAAAAATGTATTTGCTCAAGAAAGAAATGTCTCTAGGATCCTAAGCAAGAAGCTCATGTTCATACAGAAGCCAAAGAAATAGTCTAGGTCTCTTAAATTTCCTCTCCTCAGTCCTATCGTTTTGTTGCTGATGACATTATCAGTTATATTCTAAGGATACGTGTGGAACCCACAGACAGGAGTAAAGACTCTGTCCAAACTGGCATCTGTGGAAGCTTGGCCCCGGTGTTTGGAGCCGGTCATGGTGAGAAGAGGGAGCAGGCTCGTTCTCACTTGGCAGGTCGGTAGCTCGAGGAGCTCTCCTCCCATGTACCAGCCCAGCCTGGCCCATCCCACTCGTGCCCTCTGTTGCCCCAGGCTGCCACCCCAGGGAGCAGGCAGAGATGGGGACCAGTCCATCACACTGCTGAGTCAGCAGCCGTGCAGCAGGTCCAGAGCTTACAGGGTCATTAACACCCTCTCTCTAGCAAGACAGTATATTACATACTGGGAGAATGACACGGATGGAGAGAGAAGAAGTCCTAGATGGTCAGCATAAATGGACTTTCTGGATAACAGAGATACAGTCCTTTAAGTATCAAAACATTTAAAGAATGTTGATCATTTTTGTCTAGATATTTCCCAGAATAATTTCCTTGCCTTCTTAGTTTTAAAGGAAGATCCTTAATTCCACTGGTCCTCTTTTTACTCTGTGGCAGTGATTAAAAGAGCATCTTCAAGATTGGCCCATTTGTTTAGCATTAGCTCAGGTTATGGACTCCATTAAAATCCTGGTAAAGCAGTATGTCCTAAGGAGGATGGCTAGAATGGTAAAAGGATCTAAAAATAAAATCAAGTGGGTCCTTACTAATGCTTAGCAGTCTGATTCTATTCTTGTTGTCCAGTTTCCTATTCTCTCAGGTCAGAAGTTGAGAAACCAGAGTCTCCTGCCTGTTTTGTAAATAAAGTGTTATTGGAACACAGCTGTGCTCATTCACTTACGTACTGTCCATTGCTCCATTTGTGTTAAATTGCACGGTGGCTCAGACAGTAAAGAATCTGCCTTCTGATGCAAGAGACCCAAGTTCAATCCCTGGGTAAGGAAGATCCCTTAGAGAAGGGAATGGCATCCCTCTCCAGTATTCTTTCTTGCCTGGAGAATCCCATGGACAGAGGAGCCTAGTGGACTACAGTCTGTGGAGTTGCAAAGAGTTGGACAAAACTGAGCAACTAACACTTTCACTCTCACTTTGGGTCCTTGCACCAGAACCACACAGCTCACTGAGCCTAGAATATTTACACTCTGGCCCTTTACAGAAAAAGGTTTGCTAACCCTTGGAACTGAAATGACTGTTACATGCTCTCTTTTGTTATGCTTCCAGCATCTTCTCAGAGTCCTTACTCTCAGCTAATTACCTGAATTGTTGTTTCTGAAATAGAGGTCTTCAAAAAAGAATTTCCATGTTCTTGTCACCAGATATGCCAGCCTACCTGCACATTCACCTGCTGTAGCCTCCCCTCCTGTTACAGTGAGGGGAGTATTCACATGCGTGTTTCTGAGAGTAGATCTTTATGCTCTCTTTCCTACTCAAGCACGTTTCCTAAAAATGCCATCTCTCTGGCCCATGCCATCAAATTTCTCTCTACACGGGATGATTTCTAATAAAGATAAATGTGCTGGAATATCCCTCACCATAAACGAGCAACCAGAGCTCCCTGCAGCGTCACTTTTTAACTAGTGCCCCATTCTTGAAATAAAACTCCTTAAAAGAGTTGGCTCTCATTCTCTGTGAAGCCCATGTGAATAAAACTTGTCACCCCCAACACTGTTTTTCCTCCAAAAAATAGTTAAAGTCACCAATTACTTTTGTTAAATTCAGTGTCAGCGGTTTGATCTCCTCTTATTTGATGTTTCAGCTACACTGGCTGCAGCTTTTCATCCCCTCCTTGAAAACACCCCCTCCTTTCCAGATTAGTCATCTTTGTTGTTTAGTTGCTAAGTCGTGTCCAACTCTTTGTAACCCCATGGACTGTAGCCCACCAAGCTTCTCTGTCTATGGGATTCTGCAGGCAAGAATACTGCAGTGGGTTGCCGTTTTCTTCTCAGGGAATCTTTCTGGGATCAGAATTGAGTCTCCAGATTCTTTACCACTGATCCACCAGGGAGGGAGGCCTCACTCTTCATCTTCCCAGTATCTAAACATTAGACTCAGTTCATGGATTTCTTCTCTTTTTTGTTTGCATCACCCCATTGGTAATCTTAGTCCTTCCTCTGGCTTAAATACCGTCTACCCTATGATGACTCCCTTCCCCAGCTTAGTCTTCTCTGGATCTCCTGACAGCCAGCCTGGCAGCTCCGCATGGGTGTCTTAATAGGCATGTCCCATACCAGACTGCCCCCCAAAGTCTCCCAATCTCAGGAGCTGACAGCCCCTACCCTTCTAGTCACTCAGGCCAAATATCATGGAGACAACCATTTCTGCTGGTCCTACCTTTGAAATAGATCCAGAATCTAACCACTTTCGACCATCTCTGCTGCTGCCATTTCTTCTTCCAAACCATTTCTTGTCTGAAGACCAATCTTAATTGGCTTTGTAGCTTCAACTGCTCTTCCCCACTTAACAGTGTTTCCTCAACCTAGAAGATGGAATGATCCTGTTAAAAGATAAGTTGGATCATTCCAGTCCTATGTTCAAAACATGTCAAAGTCTTCTTCCATCTTGTTCAGAAAAAGAATGTAAACCTCTTGCACGTCCTGTGCCGAAGCTACACGTCCTGGTCCAGCATCTCCTCTCTGAACTGTCCCATAGGTCTCCCGTTACCAGCTCCGCTGCAGCCCTACTGTGCTCTTCCCTCATCCCGGAACACGCTGAACACTCCCAGACCTCGGGGCCACTGAGCTTCTGTTCCTCTGCCGGGAACATTCTTCACTCCCCTTTGGTCTCCTCTCAGATGTCAACCAACGAACCCTTCTCTGTCTCTTACCCTCCTTTCTTTTCCTTCTTATCACATACCACCATCTGATTTTTCATATCTGTATGTTAATGTAATCCACATCTCCTATTTAATGTAAGCTACATGACATGTGACTTGGTCTTTATTGTTATTCACCACTGTATTCTTAGAACCTGTAATAGATCTTGGTGCATGGTGGTTCCAATAAAATGAGTTGAGTGAGTGTTGAGTGACTGAATGAATGAATAAAATAGTAAGCTAGGGGAATATACATGAGGAATGCAAAAAGGAGGACATCATAGGAATTGGTATTTAAATATTTAGAAGATCGTCATATTGGATAAAAAGTGGACACACTTTCAGTTGCTTTAAAGGGCAGTGCTAGTACTCATGGATTGAAGTTTAGTGGTTTCAGAATTTTGTCTAGCGTGACAAGGGGCTTTCCAGTACTTCTGGTTCTCCAGCACTGCACAGCCTGTCTTAAGATAAACTGAGATCCTTGTCTAAGGAAACCCTGGAGACAAACTGGAAGACCACTTGTGAAGCATGCGGTAAAAATAAATCCCTGACTTTGGTGGAGAAATTCCACTTGCCATTCCAGGGGAATCTGACTTGGGCCACTTCTGATTTTTTTTTGTTTGTTTCCTTCCTTCCTATTTGTTGGAGAAAATGCTAGATAAGGAGCTGTCCTTGCCCTTAGGAGTAACTACTTAGTCACTGCTTTGCATGGACGGTTCCATTTTTCTGATGCCCACTCAAAAAAATGTGTGTCTTCAGTACAGACTATTAAGACCCTAAAGTTGTGATCACTTGCTACCCCTTTCTCTGTATTTGGTCACATTGCTGGGTCCATTCAAATCCTGTAGATTGTAAAGGGTAAAACGAGGATTTGATAATGTTGGCCATTCCTGCCAGGAGTAACTTCAGATTTCTTTTTAGGTCATTTCCTCATATATCAGTATGAACCATTTTTGAAAGAATTTGAGTAGAAACTGTTCAGAGTGTGTGTTAACAATGAACATTTTTTTTCTTATCAAAATCCTAGATTCTTTTTCATATTATCATCATTACTTGGTACTTGGGTGTAATGAAAAATATGGTGCTTTGTGGACCATTTCTAAACTCTGAGTATGTTTGAAGTTTTCTTTTTGCAGTTTATTTTTAATAACTTTCCACCACATTTCATGCAACATTGGAGGTATTTTACTGATATTGCCCCAGAGTAACTTTTCAGTTTTGAAAGAAAAGAATTTCTTGTGCTTTTCTTGTGAACTGTATATTTGTACGTGGAATGAGCTGGTGGAGCTAAGGAATTAGGAGGTTGCGCACTGTTATTTTTAGTACTCTATCACTTCACCCTGATTGCCGGAGTAGTTCCTGGCTAACTTTCCCATGAGTTTTTAACCTCTTGCTGCGCTTATGTAACAGGAAACAGGCTGTCAGGAACAAATAGTGGCATATCAGGAGCACCCTTTAGCAGCAAATGATTCAGTTTGCTCTGCCTTTCCCTCTCTTAAAGTAGACTGATAAATGATCTCAACTTAAGTCTTTCGGTGCGGCATTCCTAGGTTAAGTTTCAGTTTTGGAGAGGCAAAATATTTTTACCAAGACCATGATTCAATCCAAGCGACAAGAGAAGATGAGTGTATTATAAGGTGAACTATTCAGTGAGCAGTGTCATGTCCTGGGACTGTGGATTTAAGTATATCTTTGCTTTTTCTCCAACTCTTAAGGCTGGCATGATGTGCAAACTTCAGGAGAGAGATGATATTGGGCGAATCGAACTGGTCCAGAAGCTGGCAAGAGACAACTGTCAGTTTTTGCAGACGGACAAAAAAGAACAGGAGAAATCTGAACACGTAAGCACTTTTCCTCTTGGGAATGCAGGTTTGAGGGGGTGGAAAGTGTTTCTGCCTGGTTGTATGTTTGAAGGGAAGAATATTTTATTTTAAATTCTTTGGGCTTGGGTTTTTTTTTTTCCCCCTCCAAAAGCATGCTTCTTAGTAAAAGAGAATGACAACTGCTCTAATTTTCTAGGCCAGTGGTTTATGACACTGGATTTAGAAGCAGTCTCTTCACAGAAGTAGACCGTGTAGAAATATAAGAATGCACAGGAGCACATGTGAATGCATGTCTATTTGATAGCTTCCAGGCTTGACTTGGGGAATTTCACCCCATCAGAAACTCTGTGGAGTATGAATTCTAAAAGAACATTCTGATGTACTTTTATGTTGAGCCCAGGGGGTGGATCTAGTTATCAAGCAAATTAGTCCTAACTCAAGAAGTAGGTGAGAACAGAGGAACAGATTCTAGACGCTTAGACCCAGCGGCAGAGTCAGAAGGGCGTTTTCCCAGTATTTCATGAACGTTTGTGTTCCAACAAGAGTTATATTGTTTAGATGCAGTTAGACTGGAGTGAAGGGACGCTTTGCTCAGTTGTCCTGAAAGCAGTTATTCAGCCTGAGCCTTAGAACCAAGAACGCTGCGGTCATGCTGGGGAGACAATGGGACCACTCTCTTCGGCTCCACATTGTTGTCTGTTGACTTCGTGTTGTTGTTTGTAAGGCCTCACCCTCCATGCTGAGCCCTCCAGGATTGCTCATGAAGGGGAAAATTCCCCCGTGTGTATGGACGTGTCTTTTCTCTGACTTTTAATCTTTGCTGAAATTTTGTTTTCAACCCTTTGCAAGGGAGCAGAATTGGTTCATGCTCATTCTGCTCCAAGACCATCAATACGAACACCAGGGATTGACGGAGCGGGAGAGGAGGTGAGAGGTCCCAGGATGGCAGGCTGTTCCATTTGATCACGTAACACATCTATAGCAGTGTGGCATCGAGTCATTAGCTATCAGGGTCTCAAGGGGGAGAACAATTAGGCAGTTTCAGAGCCTGCAGTGGCCGTTATCTCAGAGGTGACTGTTGGCTGTAAGTTTGAGCGGACGTCTCAGGAGCCTTCACCTCAGTGGGTACTACTTAAGGAACTTTCTTGTGTTGTTAAAAACGCTCCAGAGGTTAACTATATGGAAGACTGACTCCTAACCTCTTCTGCATCCATAGAATATCCCAGTGTATGTCTTAAATTTCTCAAAACAATGTTCCTTTTGATTCATCTTAGTTAGAAGAGCAGTCATTTTCATATGCTATATTTTACTGATTTCAGGGTGTTCTCCCCTCCTCCCTCCACACACATCTTAGAATTTCTGAAATCAGGATGAGTCCTAACAGTTGATGATGTGAAAACATGCCCTAGTTTAATTGGGAGCATTTCTCTTCCCTCGTGGTCCTTAAAAAGGATGATGTATTATACAATGGGGAAGGAAATGGCAACCCACTCCAGTATTCTTGCCTGGAAAATCCCATGGACAGAGGAGCCTGGGACAGTTCATAGGGTTGCAAAGTCAGGCAAAACTGAGCGACGGAGCACACATTATACATTAGAATTTCTGAAATCAGGATGAGTCCTAACAGTTGATGATGTGAAAACATGCCCTAGTTTAATTGGGAGCATTTCTCTTCCCTCGTGGTCCTTAAAAAGGATGACGTATTATACAATGGGGAAGGAAATGGCAACCCACTCCAGGATTCTTGCCTGGAAAATCCCATGGACAGAGGAGCCTGGGACAGTTCATAGGGTTGCAAAGTCAGGCAAAACTGAGCGACGGAGCACACATTATACAATGGATTGTATATTCGATTCAGTGGATCAGTAACAACCTGAGGGGAGAGAGAGATCCTTTAAAATCAAACCAATAGAGTAACCCTTCCCCCTTCCCCAAGGTCAGAAATCACCAGCCTTAGGCCATAGACAGCTTTATGCTTAATAAAAAGCTACCTGTGTTGCCTTTGCCTTATTAGTTTAATCCAGAATATTATAGTTACAGTTAATGAGAATATAATACCCTCCAAATACATAGTAACAAATCTGAAAGTGCAGCTGTTAATGACTTTGACCATGAGATGCAAATTTAGTGGTGGAAGATTTGCGACTCTGCTTACAGTTGTGTACTCACTGTTTACTCACTCAGTCTTTAAAGCTTCATTTTAAGATGGTAAAAAAGAACACTATGGTTTTTTACTTCTTGCATGAATGTCGTAATATGGATGCATAAACAGCTCTGAAGATTGTGTCCTTCTGAGGGGAAAGATGATGTATAAATAAATAGTGGAATGATGGCCTTTTCTGTTTAGACTTTTCCTGCTGAAGCTGACAGTCAGGAAAGGTGAATGTGAAGGATCTTTCTTCCTTCATGATAAATATGAACTTAGTCATTCTGTGATCTCCCTCCTTCAAGCTGACACCAGCTGAACTGAAAGCTCTCAAGGCTAAGACTTCCACAGTGCACCACCAAATGGAACCTTTGACACTGGATGCTTCCTGCACCTTTTGCAGTTGTTTGTTAGGAATAAAAACCACCTGCTGGATTATTTCACTCTTTTGTCTTAAGCACTCGATATAGCAGTCCCTTTGCTTGCCCACTGAGTTCAGTGTCCATGAGCTGGTTGCAGCATTTTCATTTTTCCTGCCCTCACTTTCTTTTCAGCATCAGTCATCTGTTCTTGTCTATGAAAACACACAGAATATACAGAGGAAACTGCAATTTTCTTAATGTAAACTTACTTCTGCAGCTTCCTACTCTTACAACAATAACAATTATGACCAAACCCTAGAGTTACATACAAATTTCCTTTCTTTTGTGATTCTCAAATGCTTTGACTACCTCATCTCCCATTCCTGAGCCAAAATTATTTAAGTGGACAGTGGTAAAATTTGAGTTTATTTTATATTTTATTTATTTAAAATTTGAGTTTAGAATCTCAGATGCCTATTGAGTCATTCTTTTTAGTGAACAGCTTTGCTTCTCCAGTCCCAGTAAGCCATGTCCCTCTTTGTACATAAGCATTCAAAAGAGAAAGCTACTTTAAGGTACTACTGCCCAGAGATAGACATGAATTTGATAGAATAAGGCTTTTGTTGCTGGTGCATCTTGTTACAAATTGAAGGGGCTTTGAGATTTCTGAGTAGGCATATCTAATATCTTCTTAAACTGGTAAATGCCATGGTTAAAAGTGGATGCAATTAGAGAAATGCTTCACTCTGTGCTTTTGCCAGGGTGTTTCTGAAGTTTAAAAAAGTTAAATGTATAATTATCACAAGTTTCTCAGGAAGCACTTACTTTTCCTATTTTCTATTAACAGGCTGTAGGCAAAATTAGCCAGCACTCACTCCTAAGTGTTGAAAATTATGTGAGAACTTTAAGAAGGGGACAGAAAGGGCTCTTTCTTATAAACATTATGAGGGTGAGCTTAATATTTGGTCATTGATTCTTTAAAGAAATTGCCTCTTATGTAGGCATCGTATTTTCTAGTCTTAGTTCTATGATTATATCCATAGAGGAAGGGGCATACGTTACCAAATGGGAACTTTTGAGCTTGACCTGGAAGGATGACTAAAGTCAGAAGGGCAGGGCAGGGCGGGGAAGAGCATTTAAGACAGAGGGACCGTCAGGAAGGTGTGTGAGTTGAGCCTTGGCAGTTCTTGGGAAAGGAGTTGGGGTGGGGTGGGCTGTGAGGGAAGGTAGAATTCAATTGTGAAAGACCTGGCAACCCGCTCTAAGCAGTTTAGACTTGCTATTCTGGCCAAGGAAAACCATCAAAGAAGGGAAGCGGCATAATCAGATGTAGGCTTTGTAAGATCCCTCTGGCATTGGTTTAGAGGAAAAATTGAGTGAGGAAGAGGGAAACGCTGGAGAAAACCCTTAGAAAGATATTGTTGTGAGTCAGGTGAGAGATGTAAGTCTGAACCAGGGTGGCACTCTGGGAAATGAGAAGGTCACAGATGGTGGGTGAGTCATTTAGATGGTAAACTTGGCAGTATTTGATGACTGGTGATGGGAGGATGTGTGTGCTAATTTATACTAAGCAATTTTGAAGTTTGTACTACAATTTCCTGATATAGACATGAGGAAGTTGTCTTTATCTCCAGAATGGTTGGTCACTTTTCCCAAAAAGCTCTGTAGCCATTTACCTTGCCTTGACCTGCAGTTGTTTCAGGTATCTGAGATAGATGCTACAGCACACAGTGTTTATCTCATCAGCAAATCATCAGATGAGTTTTTGGCTAACAGTAGGGAGACTGCTTCTTTTGAGACCCAGGTACTTGGACCTGGGTGTCACAGCAAGACTTTTCACCTGGGCAGACAGGACTCTTTCTCATGGCAGAGGTAGAGTTTGATGTGGGCCTTGAAGTAGGTTTGTAGTTGGATTTAAACAATCCAAACTGAAGAAAAGCATTCCCGGCAGAGAGAGGAGCATTAGAAAATACACAAGGCGTTTTTTTTTTTCTTGAAATTGAAACCACTCTGTCACCAGAGCACCAGGAATGGGGTTGAGGAAGATGGTGGCAAAGATTTAGGAGAAGGAAAAGTGAGGAACGAGATCGGGGCCAGGGTGTGGAGGATTTCGAGGGCTGACACGTTTCACTTCATTCTACAAATAATGAAGAGCCACTGACTTGTTTTGTTAGTTTTCATCAAAAAGAAGGATGAGGGGGCCCTTCTGTGAGGGAAATGATATTATTTCAGTGTGATGGGTCATAAAGCTGAGGCTGGTGGGTGACCAAGCAGAGCTGGGCCAAGTGGGAACTCAAGTCCGACTGCCCCTGGTCAGCTGCTCGCTCAGCCGTCAGCCCCGGAGGGAGCCTGGTGTGAGGACCGGAAGCGAGACGACAGGGTGGTCCTGAGGAAGAGCGGCCACCGGGACGGCGGCCCTGGGGGGACGACAGAACGATGATGAACTGAAAGGATGCTGGTGGTGAAGTGTGGGAAGGAAGAAAGAAAAGGGATGCTTAGGTACAAGCTTA